AAACCGACGTTTCAAAGCAAGGTACTGTACAAGGGTTCTAGCTTTATCCTAGGTGCTACAATTTCCCGACTCTTTCCAGGTATACAATTGCCTCGAACGGCCAGCCGGTTGGCGATGTTTCATGTATCATTTCAGGTCCGTTATTTTTCGAACTTTCGACCGATTTTCCTCTCAGAAATTTCTCGTTTTCAGTGTTTTCGTAGTAGTTTTGGTATGTTTGATACTCAGTGTTCTCTCAACGGTTGAGCAACACAGCAGATTTGCTGGTGAACTGCTTTTTTTATTGGTAGGTCTCTCTGGAAGATTTCCGAGATTTCTCTAGAATATTATTCTATGTTTTCTTTAAAGTATTTTTTCAGGAAATTTTTCTTGTAATATTTTTCGCTATTGAATATTGTGTACGGTTATGGGCAGCCGGGTGCCGTTCGAAATATCTCGGTTTTTGGGGTCGACTTCGATTCGCTAAGAAGCCAATCTCATTCATTGGTGAGTCAAAATCAGACTTTGTGCTCCGATTCTCAACTTTTACCCTACCGCTTCTGGTTGAAAATTTTTGAAAAAACAATCGATTGTCATTCACCTACCTGAGCGAAGTGTAAGGTATTATTTTCTTCCGAGTTCCGCTTTCCGGTTCTCATTTGTCGTTCTACTTTCCGACTTCGGATTTTTGCTTTAACAACTTACCTGAATCACCGTCATTTTCTCACCATAATAGGCTTGTTTTTGGCTGTTTTTGTTTGTAGTCCGCCATGCGGAAGTTCCACAAGAATGCTGGGTTATGGGTAAAACTTTCGCAGCCTGTCCTGCTTTTGGATCCAACTTTTCGTAAGAATTGGCCACAAAATGTCATATGCATAATCAACATCTATTTTATCACCGTTTCGCAGCCAGAGGCAACCAAGTGGTTCTTTTTAAACGAATGAATAAAAACAAATTTCTGGGCATAATCCTTCTATTCGCCCTTTGCAGATCTTTGTGTGGTTTTGGCCAGCATTACCGTAATCCTAGTTGGAAGTGAAGGCCAAGTTTTTGCTGCTAGTGCAATACGGTAAGTTCATGCAATATGCATAATAGCATGTCTTGAAAACGGAAATCGGAATTTTTTCTAGGGGTGTGCGATTCTTGCAAATTCTTCGAATGCTTCACGTTGATCGACAGGGTGGCACATGGTTAGTTACGTCATATTAATTCTTCTGCCATCTTGCTAGAGCATTCTGAGCTTGCAATAGCAGCTTCGTTCATAGTTGAGCAGAGCGGCACTATGACCAGTAACATCCATCGGGCAACTATACATATAGATGCGTAAAAATTGTGTAGTTCAGTCCTTTCTC